ATGGCTCTGGGGCTGTTTGTTATGCTGCAGCTCAGGGGCTCCTTGGGGCGCCATGGCTCTGGGGCTGCAAGAAGCCCCTGAGCCGCAGCGCGGCACTAAGCTGCAGCGCCCGGGACACATCAAGCATTCGTTCACCCAACTGCCTTCTCTCCCAGCTCCCCACACTGACCTCACCTTTTGCACCCAGCCACTGCAGCCAAAGTAGATGTGGCTTGCTGCCTTTGCTGTCTCTTTTTCAGAGCTGCAGCTGCCATGTTACCCTGGGTGAACGCTTCCTAGACATGGCTCCCCAGCCTGGCCCAGCAGGGCAGCTCAAATAAGAATGCCAGCCAGTGGGGAAGGCAGGAAGCAGTTTCACCCAGTGGGAAAGTGCCAGGGGTTGACTCAGGGAGCCACGTGTAGGAAATGTTTGCTGGAGAAACTGGGTCCAAAAAGGAGGCAGCAAAGGCAGCAAGGCACTTCTGCTTCAGCCGCAAAGGCTGGGTACAAATGGCGAAAGGTGAATGTGGGGAACTGGGAGAGAAGACAGCTGGGCAAACAAACGCTTGCTGGCACTACCCAGGCACCGCGGCTTCCTGGGGCAGTTGAGGCTTCCAGGGGTAGCTGCAGCTTCATACTGCGCTGAGGCTCAGGGGCTTCTTGCAGCCCCAGAGCTGCAGCATGCCAAGAAGCCCCAAGCCACAGTGTAGCAAGCAGCCCCAGAGCTGTGCAGTTCTGGGGCTGCTTGCTGCCCCACAAGGCAGGGTGCAGGGCAGCCAAAAGGGCACAGATGGTGGGGCAGATAGGCAGGTGGGGGGAGTTGAAGGCAGTCCCTTACCTTACTAAGGTATGGGGCTGGGAGGAACCAAGCCCGGAATGGTTTGGATTGGGGTGGGTCCTTGGCTAATGATTGGTGGAATTCGCTTAATAATGGCAATGGGGAGTACTGGGATTTATGACCGCATCACTTAGCGATGGAAATTCCAGTCCCAATTGTGGTCATACGTCAAGGACTACTTGTATACAAATTCAGCCAATATTTAGATGCTCAACAAATCAAACAATTTCTGACAATATCAACTTATATTGCCTTATTTTAAGAGATGTTTTTGTAAAATGGCTTTGAATAATCTGGGCATGAAAAGAAAATCCAACTACATTGGTAGACAAATATAGAAAAGAAAATCCAACTACACTGGCAGACAAATTGACTGGAAAAACAGTAAGTGAAAAATCAGGAGAAAAAAGCTGCCTGGAACCCATGGGTATGGCCAAGATTTCTTTGCAACTTCTTTCTTGTGGAACAATAAACAAAGCACAATAATTTTAGGAATTGCTTTTAAACTTACCTTTCTTTCAGTAATATCATAAACTTTGTTTGTTTTTGTGGAAATTTTGTACTTTTGTTTTGGTACCTTAAAAATAAGAAATGCAAAGAATTTTGGTAAATTAGTTGATGGCTCCTTCAGCATTCTTCTTTTTGAAATAATACTCCACATTTAGCACAGCTTACCAAACTACCATGCTATCTTTAACCTCATTTAATTATTTATATTAATTTTAGGCATTCTCTCCCTTACTCCTCTTCTTTCTCTATGGTAGTACACTTTTCTGCTGCCTGTATCAGACTGACTGTATCTTTATCTGCACCTGACTCTTTATGTATGCATGTGAAGCATATTATGAGCTATGTCAATGCCAAGCAGCTCAAAATGAATCAGTCAGCAGGCCACACAGAGATAGCACCCTTCAGGAATAATATTACTAGGATATGTTGCATAGAATATTTTCCTCTTCCCAAGAGATTCTTTCATTTAATTAAACAGGAGTAGGATTTTCTGAGGTGCACTTTGTAGAGATTGACTCAAAATAGATTACAGGGAATAAAGGAAACTTCTGGAGCTGCTGCTGCTCTATTCCCCCTTTCTTGACATGGATTTAATGAGAGGAACAGAAAAGTTTGCCTTCTTTTCAATTAATATGATTTAGCATAAAATCTAAACTCTATGGCATTCTATTGTTGCTGAAAAAAATCTAATCCAAAAGCAAAATCAGGAATAACAAGTGGACATTATTTACCATTTATGAAATTGAAAACTTTAAAAATGGCAAAAATATGCCTCTTGTTGAATTTAAATTATGTGCAATGTGGAGCTGTAATTCAGTAGTAGACCCCCAAGTTCAGTTTCAGATATATCCACTTATGACTGGAAAAGTTTCTTCCTGACACCCTGGAAACCTGCTGCTAAGACAACGTGGACACTGTTGGCCTAGATGGTGCAATGATCTAACTTCATCACTGGATTCATACAGTACAATCAGCCATAATGTTGTTTCCCTGTTTAAGCTGTAGCGTGACATGTGAATCCAACCAAACATGGATTATTCAATAAATCACAATTAACAAAATCATAACACAATGCCTGAGCCCATACTGTATAAGACATCTTATGTGTCATTTTTCTACAAAATTATTGTTGTGTATTTGAATAATATTAAAGAATTGGGAGTCAAAACTTCTGAGCCTTTCTTTCTTCCAGTCATGCTAAAAGTCAATTTAACTTAGTTGAATTTGGGGAAATCCTAATCTCTACACAGAGAGTAGTGTGAAGAGAATGAAGTTCACTCATTCAATCAAGGGCATCAGGGCAAAATAAGCGAAAGGCTAGTATGGGACAATTTCCTGGAAGCAATACATTTTGATGAAAAATGGCAACAGCATGCACCCCACACATAAACTCTTACATTCTGTAGCTTATTTCGACATACAGGGTAGCCACATAGCCTGATGATAAATCGTTCTTCCACAACATCCTGATAGTGAGAAGGTGTTATAAGCCTCCCCTGAAATGATAAAACCAAGAGGATCCTGTTAAAAGGATAACTTCTCAAAATCTGGTAATAAATGCAATGCTTTAGAATTTAGGGGACCCTAAAAACCAAGAGAATATTGATTATAGCATAATGTTTCTAATCTGTTCAATAGCCAAAATTCAGTTGGCAAACCCCCCAAATTTCAGTCACACTATTTTTTGAACAAATACATATTTAAATTAAGGCACGATGTCTCCCACAGAGCAAAGTTCCCACCCAAATCCCCCCAAATGAAAATAGGGGGAGGAATTTCCCTCTTGCCTTCTCCAGTGACATCTTTATCTTTCTCTCTGTAACATTCAGAGGTAGAAGATGTTTTTTAAAAATGCAAGACGATCACAAAAGAGTCATGTGAAGTGGTAAACTGCCCCATCCATTTTGGCTTACCAGTATGTATGAACTTATGGCTTGTTCAACCAACTATGGCTAAAAAATCTTGGCTTAGTGTTAGTGAACACAATCACTATAATACACTTTATCAACTCCACACCTGATAAATATATTGTAATATGACTAAAGCTGAACCTAGAAAGTTGACAACATCATCACATTCAAGTGTTTAACATTTAAATCAGCCCTTTCCTGGCTTGCAATTTAAGGAGTTGCAGTCTTAATACATCTGGGAACACCAAGAAATGTAAAAAAAAGTAAGTTTAGGAAAGGACGTACACAATCCACAAAGAATTCTTCAGTAATGTCATCTTCCAACAGGCTTTCAACAACCTGTAATGCTTTCCGCTCACACTCAATTTTCTTCCTAATAGCAGCTTCAAGTGCTGCTTTCCTAGAAATAAATAAGCAGTTAACAATGCAGACAATACTTTGGCAACTCATATCAATTTGCTTAAAAAACTTTGGTTTAAATAATGTATTTCATTGGAATGCTATATTCATTACATAAAATTATCCTCCTGTTACATATATTTTGAAATTTGGTCTAAATTTTCTGTCATGGTTTAGAAAAATGGCTAGTAGAGCACAAAGGCACCTGCCAGTTAGTTCCTGAAGAACATATTTAATCTCCCAAAAGCTCATCCACAAAGATCATAGCAGGACCTAACAATCAACATCTTCTTAGGGAAGAAACAAGGCTGGTAATAAGCAAACCAGTTAAATAAATTTAGGCTGCAATCCTATAATCACTTTGTTGTTGTTGTTTAGTCGTTAAGTCGTGTCCGACTCTTCGTGACCCCATGAACCATATTGCGCCAGGCCTT